TCCCCTTTAACAGGAAGATCTTTTCAGTTGATTTGAATTGGGCTGATCATTGTGATGTTTGGTTCACGCCCAGGTTAATAAAAAAAAGGGCTTGGATGTGTTTTGTTTTACTAAAGTTGAGGACCGGAAATGAAACATAAAGCAAGCTAATCAATAAAAAGTAAGACAGACCATTGGCTGCTTCTGGCATTAGTAAATAGACTCAGATGAAACTAAACAGAATGATTGAAAACTCCTTGTAAGGCAATAATCTGGTTTGGTGGTTCTCCAAGGATCAACAAGGGTTAAACTTAAGATTTTACAACTGATCGGTGACGTTTGGTTTATATCATCAGATAGTTAGTTATTTTATGTAGAGTTATAAGTTGTTTTGCTGGTATTTTACACTTGATTTTTGTTGTTTATATATTAATAAATATGTAAAAATGGATGAAAGCATCACTGTCCCAGTTTCCTATTTTAATTTTCATGATATGTATGTATTTTCATCTATGAGCTGGAAATGTCTCTATATTGGATTGCAGAAATCTGGTCTCCTTAACTTTTGTTCTTTTCTCCAGATTACAGGTAAACTTGGCTGCGCTGTGCTCGGACCTACCTGCACCTTTGCAACATTCCCCTTAGTTGAGTAAGTGACATTCTTCACAAGGGCCAATTCACGTTTGGTTTCTTGAGATGTTAAAATTTCACACCAGGAGGTTTAATGCCCATTTTTCTACCCTCTGTCTTGTCAGTGCAGAAAAAGGCTTTAACCTGAGCACACCCATCATCTCGGCGGGAAGCTTTGGTCGCTCCTGTGACTCTACCCTCAACCTGCAGCGGGTTCTGCCTCCAGCGCGGAAGATCTCAGACTTTTTCATCAAATTCTGGCTGGAAAACAATAGCATCAAACCCGAGTGGAAGACAGCCTATGTCTACAAAAAGGCCAACAACACTGAGGACTGCTTTTGGTCAGTGACACATTAAGAATGAACTCAGAGGTATAACTTACAATTTAGTAGATTGATGAATCAAATTGTTGAGTTAATTCACCATGAGCCACTTATTTGGTTCTGCAGAAGCATGATAATGAAGTAATAAGATGTGTTGAAGAAGAGATACATCTAAAGGTTGTAAGATAGTAGCTTTCAGGTCTAAACTTTTGACCTTGTAAAGCACTTTATTACCTAACCCTTCAACAAGGACTCTATTTCTGTCCCTAAACCATTCTTGTCAATAAGGTAATTCACACCAACAGTGCAGCATGACAGGACCAGAGTCCCTACTCTATCATGCTACCTGTTTATTCGCAGTTTCCATGGTTCCTGCTATGATTTCTGAATATATATGTTATGTTCTGGCTGCCGGTTTGTTCACATGCTTCTCCTCTGTAAATCAAAAAAAATACTGGAATAAGATTGGCTTACATTTATCTTCTCTATTTGATCCTGATGTGGCGCATCTTCAGCAGCAGTTGCTTTCCTGTTGGCTGATCAGTAGACATACAGTAGGTTGTTGGAGCTCTCACGCTGACACCTTCATTCTACATATCAGAAACTGTCTGATAATCATTGTAGGTTATCTATGGTTGCAAAAACTTCCTTCCTAGAACCCGCCTAACAGTGCAAAGTAAGTCTGATATACTAGAGCTCATTAAGGCCTTAGAGCCCAAAAAAATCAAAACCTGCATCCTAATTTTTCCATAATTTTATCATGTGGCAGCGGTTATTAACACCTTTTAGTGACACTTGGCCTGCAGGAAGACTCACCATTTTTGATAGTTATGGTCTCAGATCAAGGAGCCTCTTCTCTCTTTGCTCTAGGCCGCACCAGTGCATTGCAAAGGTCATGATTTGAATATATCATATTAAAAATATCATTAGCTTTAAGTGATTTATTTATTTTTAAATACTCTTTTTATACCAAAAAAAAAAAAAAAAAAAAATTGGACCACAAGTAGTAAGGCTATTGGAAAACCCATTACAAATTCTGATTAGTCCCATTGCATCCACTGCTTTACCAAAGACAGTTCTGCAATACTTTAACTAGCATGGACTATCAGAGATGGCAAAAGTACTCACTTTCCGTACTTGAGTAAAAGTACAGATACTTGTGTTAAAAAATACTCTGGTAAAAGTGGAAGTACTGATTAAACTTCTTTACTCAAGTAAAAGTAACAAAGTACAGGCTTGTAAATTTACTTAAAGTATAAAAGTAAAAGTAGAAACCACTTTTTTCATGCCGTTGGCTACATTTTAAATGGATGTCTGCCAATAGGACTAGATCTCCGTTGTGTTCATTTTCAATCATCTTGTCGTCCATACTACTATGCTAACGCCACCGCCACCAAGCTGCAATGATTTGCCGCGAATGAATACCGCTGAATCTGTGGATTCATCTTGTAGTGGTGCGTCAATGCAACGTAGATTCCCATCCAATTAGATTGAATTTGGTATTGATGACGTGAAAAATAATAACGGTAACTCCATTAAATGTAAGGAGTAGAAAGTACAGATATTTGTGTAAAAATGTAAGGAATAGAAGTAAAAAGTCGCCATAAAAATAAGTAGTAAAGTAAAGTAAAAATATCAGAAAAATCTACTTGAGTACAGTAACGAAGTATTTGTACTTCGTTACTTCCCATCTCTGTGGACCATGTCACGTCAATTAGAAGCTTGACTGAATCCGCAGGTCTGAAGATGTTTAAGACAGGACGTATCATGTATATTGTATTACAATATATACAAGAAGAGGAGCCCCTGAGTGGTGGTATGGTTTCATAGATCTCACTTTTCCAGAGCCAGCTAAGAACCTCTAACCTGACCCCGCCAGACGGATTTGCTCCGCATATCCATCTGGAAACCTTCCGTTGAAGTAATTTTGGGAAGGGGCGAAAATACTGGTTAGCTGATTGGCCTATGTTGGTGATAGACGGGCCAAATAAACCAATCAGATCAACGGAGCATATAACGTACTAACAGAGCGACGACGAAAACACAACCACAGGCCAGGCTACTCTTGCCAAAACCAGTCGGGAGAAGAGCAAAAACATCTTTTCCTCTGAGAAAAGCCTCCAGAGCAGTGTTTAGCTCTTCTTTCAGTAAAGAAATACTCTGTAATTCCGATAAAACTTGCTCGATAGCCACGCTAACACTAGTTCATTGGCTGAAGCCGCCATGTTCTTTAGACTGAACTGTCGCGCTTCTCGTTGCGTCACACCTCAACCCGCCTCAAAGCCAACGCTGATTGGACGTTCTTTTGGTGAACGGCTCCAAATTTTCTTTAACGGAGAGTCTCCAGACTGATCTGCGAGTGAAACCTTGAAAGCCCGCGAGATCAGGATGGTCTCACGAGGCAAAAGAACCTCATGGATACAGTATAAAACAAAAATGAGAAGGGAAGGAATAATGCTTGCAGCAAAGAAGTCGAACAAGAAGAGGGCTATGAGATAAAAGAGGAACAGAGGATGGATGAAGTGAAGGGAGGAAGGTGTCAAAAGAAGAACACAAAGTAAGGTTGTTAAAAAGTTAAAAAGCTGGGTGGTGAGAGGTGTGACCGAGGGGTGGTCCTGCTCAGATTCAACAAGAAACCACCATTATGCCTTTTTTTATTGTCATCTGCTTCTTTAGGTATATCAACGCACTGGAAGCCGATGGCAAGTTCTCAGCAGAGGTTTCAAGAACGATGCTACGCAAACCTGACGAAGTGAAAGAAATACTCAAGACACAGGAGAACAGGACGAGCAATTGTAAGTCGATTTCTGGGTCATGAAGGTGAAACTCTTACCCTCAGACGGAGAGCTGATGGTCAACCAAGGCATAATTGGACAACATTTATCAATATGAACAAAAAAGTACTAAGCAAAAGAAAAGAAACACTTAAAGTATTTACTATTTCTGCGCTTAGTTCCAGACTCAATGTATCGCTGTAGCAATTATCTGTTAGCCCCTATTAAGCTATTAAGAAATCACATTAGCCTGCTAGAGGTCTTAGTGCTGCCAATAACCTGTCGATGCACAATCAACAGGTTTATGGATTGTACTGAATTATTTCTCATGATAGAGTGTACCAAAATTGTAGTATTGTAGGTAAATTTGAAACCAGAATTGCATCATTCCTACATGCATATTTTAATATACACCAGTAAAAGAATCATCAATCTCTGTGTATGTGCAATTTATGTGAAAATTTTCAATCTCTGTAAATTTAATGGGTTAAGTCAAGGTGATTTTAACCTTCTAAATAAGTTTTTAGAAGGTTAAAATCATAATATAAGTTTTATTAACACAAGAAATAGAGTTTTTGTTGTTTGTTTTTTATTTTACACCGGGCACAAATAACGTAAGATTCTCTCTGTTTTAAGAGGTTTGGTTTAAGGTTAATTTTCAATTTTGAAGGAAAATCAGGGTCAGGCTTTATTTAGGTATGTCTCCACCCTCCGTTTTTATTTTACAGTTACATTTTAACAGAAACATTTTCTTTGTTTGCAGTGATCATCATGTGTGGCTCAGTGCAGGACTTACTAGAGTTGAAAAATGGCTCCAAAGCAGCAGACAGCAGTGATTTCCTCTTTATGCTCATTGATCTCTACAAGTCAGTACTCTTTTTAGATCTTCAATTTTCATTTTTTTTGTCTTATCCATTCATTTCTTCTGTATTTATAACACTGCTTACCAGTAAAATAAGCTAGAGCATTTTAGATCACCTAGTAAAGTGCAAACATAATAAAACATAAAAAATAAACAGAAAAGCTGATACTAGGAAGTCCTAATCTAGATTTCTTAACACCAATCAGAATCACTTTAGAAAAGGCCTTTACCAATAAAGAGTCCTAAATCAATTCTGTGTGCAATAAAATATCACGCTATCTCCCATCAGTGCTTTATGGTCCAAAGTGTTACCTTGTTTGAAAAACTTTTCCCTCTCTAATGGTGCCTTCAGGACAGCCTTGACATGCAGATCTAATGCAAGGTAAAGGTTAAAGGAAAAGGAAAAAAAACGTTAAAGGAAGACTAGACCCCAATGTTATTAAAATATAGAGCTTTATAATAAAAGAAAGATGGCCGATCATCTTAGCATGGCCTTAATTAAGACCCAAACATCCCTACAGAGAGTTGCCACAGAGCACAGCACTGCAGACTAGTAAGTTCAAAAAGAGAACCTTACCCTCAGTTATGTTCTGCATCACTGCAAGCACAATGCACCATCAGGCCCCGTGTCTTTAGTAATGGGTAACCTTTCATGTATTCTGATTTCTGTTATTTAAAGAGTCTTTATTGGACCGCTAGGTTGATGCCTACAACCTTCACTAGCTGAGAAGATCACTGATATCTAATAAATAGTAAATTTGTGTGTTTTTTATTGCCTTCAGTGACTCACGACTCTCTGCTCAATGCTCTTTTTGTTCCTCTTTTGGCTTTTATTTGTATTTTCATCCTTTGAAGCATTAATACAGTACAGAAATGCTTAACTGCTGGATCTGGAAAAGTAGCATGGAATTTAGGAACTCCCAGAAATAGATTTTATCCTACCCAAACTACAGCTGTTCACAGAGCCTCTTAGCTAGCATTCCAGCAGCATACAAGGCGGCAGCATCTAGAATGTCAGATTGCTCCTCTGTGAACCAGAGTCCTGCCTACAAACCTCTGATCTGCAAAACAAAACCCATCATAAGAACCATCCAATTCTGGATTTAGCACACAGACAGATTGGTGTTGTAAGAGGATCTTAATCTGGAAGATTAGACATCATCTTTAATATTCTATATTCACCTCTGCACTGATGCTGTCATACCAATCAAGATCAATCTGGGTTTTTCCTAACCAGAAGCAAAAAGCTTGCTAAAAGCCCTGGACGTAGCACGTAGATAAGAAGACATACAGTCAGTGTACCAGAGCCCAGAGAGAATAGAAAAAAGCAGGGCTGTCAACTCTCACCCATTGGGAGTGAGACTCACCCATCTCACTGTCTTCACATGCTCTCACTCCATATTCCATATTTCTCACACTAAAAAATGACAGAAATTAAAACTCAACTCTGTTCCACTTATTTATGTATAAAAATACCATGCTCATCAAAATCCAGTCTGCGTTTTTAATACAACCTTAGTGCTAACACATAAGGACCATGTTTTGCTCACAAGTTAAATAATTATTGCTCAGTCTAGTTAAATGATCTCCCGTTGGCATTTAGGAATAATTAAACCAACTCAAATATTTTAATTCTTAAAGCTTTCAGGTTTGCCTCTCAAACCCATAGGAGCTCCACAAAAAGAAAAAGAACCATTGCATTTTATTTTTCAAAAGATCAGCCACCCAAGAAAAGACCAACCACATTTAGAGAGGATGTGCAGAACAGCTCAGTTATCCTGGATTCATAGAGGAGAAACCACAGGAATGTTCTTCTTTTATTATTACTGATCTTATTCATTTATCTTTATTTTGGTCCATTGAATTTGTTTAAAAACTTAATTTCCATCACACTTTTCAAGTGAAACATCCAGAGAAGTGCTGCCTCCTGTCATGGTGAGTTTTTATAAAATTCTACAGCCTCCTAGAAGGTCTGAATTGTTTAGCCGTTTTGTCAATTGTAAGGTTAATTGTAACTAATAACCTTTGCCTATTTCCAAATTCGATTGCACTGGTTCCTGTATCAGTGCCAGTAATCCAGTAATAGCTTATTAGTTCCCCCTTGTTAAATTTACTTGAACTTAAAAAGAAAGAATAATTAATGAGCAAAGCTGTGAAATTCTTAGTTTAAAGTATATTTAAGATGCAAGTATTTTAGTAGGGCTCATTCTGCTTTACTTCAATTCTCTAAAAATCACCAGAATGTAGAAAATAATGTATATTGTGAGAAAAATGTCAGACATAACTACAGACCACTTATTGTTCTTCAGTAACCTTTACTGTGCTATAAAAATTCCCCACTTCGCCACTTTTTTCAGTTAAATCCTCTGAAAACCTACAACCTATATCTGCACCTATCCTCATCTAACCCTGACAGGATTTCCTGTCCAAACTATTTCAAAATCTCCCCCCAAGTGTTTGGTGAAAAGTTGGCAGCCCTGAAAAAGGCATCAGGCAGGCAAAGCACAGGTACAAGCAGAGCACAGAGGATCACCACGACAACCCACTTAAAATTTGGATCATCGTGAATTATAGGCGCTGTGTTTAGCAGCATGTTTTGACTCTCCAAGCAGTAAAAAGTTAGTTATCAGCCTCCCTGCAGCTGCAGCAAGATCAACATCAACTCTGCTGCAGGTCCAGCCATGCATTCAGGCCGGACTCTAAAGTCATGTGCTGATGGCAGTGACCCAGTGAATGCATTGTTTGTCTCACTTCCATTAAGAATCTGTATTAAATCTTTGGCAAGCTGTGAAGGAAATTGCCCTCTTGGTGAACATTCCCATCCCCTTGCCTCACACACACACACCCTTCCTCTGACACAAACAAACAAGAACTCCCAAACAAACACACCCACCGTCAATCACACAGACCATCAGACGGTTTATTAATGTCGGATTAAACGATATAAATAAATATAAATCTATATAGTAATCGATTAATTGTTAACTGGATTAAAGAGACTCTAAAACAGTCTCCAGCTTAAGGAGTGGTCCACTTAGAGCAGATATTATACCAAAATTGTAATTAAAAAAGATACACAAATATTTTGCATTTAATTAAAAAATAAAGTTTTTCATCTGTCAATATACTCTTTCCAGAAAAGTTTTAGTTTCTTGTTTAATTCAGTAAAATAGCCAGTTTTTATGCATTTACTTCATCATATACTTCATAGTATCGGTAATGTCGATGAATTTGAAGGACTTTCCTGTTATACTAATTTTAAATTAAAAAGTTAATTTATTCATAGACTTAACAAACTTTATTGTAATTTTGTATACACAGCGTGTATACAAAACTAAATTAGGTTATTTACAGCTCACAACAGTAAAATGAACATTACCATTTATATGAAGTGCAGCAGTGATCCTCATGTAAAAAGTATAGGAGAAAAAGGAAAACCTGTTTAAAAAGTAATGGTGCAAAATGGCATTAAGGTTCATTGCTGTGCAAAATAAGTATGGTGCAGGTTTTTTTTTCCCTTAATTTTTGATACTAATTGATTGATACATTTGTGAATTGATCAATGAATTAATATGATTGAATAGTGTTCTGTAAAAGCTTTACTTTGGATTACAGACCCTCAATAATAATGAAAACACTAAAAACAGTTCAGATATCACCCTGTGGCAACATATGTTAGGTAAATTTAAAAGTTTGTATCTGTTGTTGTTAATGAGTAGATAAATGGTTAACACATATCTAGACCAGTACATCATCTTTATTGGTTGAGTATACCATCTGTTTTTCTTCCTTTGTGCAGTGATGTATACTACACCAACCCGTCATCGCTACCTGAGATGAAGAACGTGTTGGTGCTGACCATGCCCAACACCCGGGAGTACGTCATCAACTCAGACTTTAGAGGCAACAAAACAGTAAGGAAACACACAACTTTAGTCAGTTCATAAGAGTCAGATTTAAAAAAATAATAAAGTAATTTTAATGGTGCATAAAGAGCGGAAGTAGTTGAACTAGTTTTTCTTTCACAGTTTGTAAAATAACTCCAGAAGCTACTGTTTCGATTGATTTTCATTTGTTGTGTTTGACTCTGATCTTTCAATAAAAGACAACTTAAACATCAACAGAAACATTAACTGACCTTTCTGAGCAATACTTCTACCAGTTTGTGCCTCCAGTGATGTGACGCTCTCTCTCTGCAGATGAATGACTACATGGCAGCGTACCATGACTCAGTGCTGTATATAGGACAAGTAATGAGAGAGATCTTCGCCAAAAATCAGTCTGATCTACACGGAATGGACTATGTGAATGTGAATTACTTCAGAAACACCTCGTTTAAGGGTAAAGATGAAGCCTAAATGTCTTTTTTTTGTCAAAATTATTATTATTTTTTTTTTTTTACTGAAATTGCATGTTTGTAGATGTTTTATGTGGTAGTTTTAGGTTAATTAAGTGAAAGACTGATTCAATTCAATTCAATTCACATATTTATATAGCGCCATTTCACAACACAGGTCATCCCAAGGCACTTTACAGTTCAACCAGATCATGTAGTCAAATTGATTCAAAGTTTTCTATCTAAGGAAAACCAATTGATTGCATCGACTCATTGACTTGAAGGCAAACCCTCACACTAAACATGCTTGTAGCGACAGTGGAGAGGAAGAACTCCCTTTTAACAGGAATAAACCTCCAGCAGAACCAGACTCAGTGTGAGCGGCAATCTGCCGAGGCCGACTGGGGTTCTGATGCACTCTGGGTGCACAATTGAATCCCTCCTTCAAGCTGCTGTTAGATTTTATAATATTTGATGCTTCTAACATGCCAAATGAGTGTTTTCAACCATACTGTCATTTGCAGTTATTTTATCTGACCAAGAGCATTTTTCTCCGTATACATTCCATTATCTGAGCAGTTTCTAGTACGGTCCATGTTTTTTTTCTACATCAATACCTTGCACAGATGCTAATGAATATTTTGAATAGTATGTTTCTGCATTTGCTCTGAATGTCATTTTCTACATTTCTTCCATTTTTTTACTTAAAAATGTCATTTCATTTTGTTCTCTCTCATATTATTAATATTTTATTGTACCTGTATTCTGTCATTTGTCATAGAAACCCCATGATTTCCAAGCTGTGAGACAATGAAGGGGATTTCTATGCTAGTTTATTCTATTCTATTCTAATCTATTCTGTTCTATTCTAATCTACCAATCTTCTATTGTTTTTTTCTGCTGGGCAGATGGAATATTCCATTTATTTAGCGATCATTACTACATGTACTATTTATTAGACTTATTGTTTTAAATATTTAATTCCCCTTTGGGATTAATAAAGATTTTCTTGAACTGAACTAAATAAATTTCTGCTAAATTAATTTCTGCTATGGTGAGATGAGTTGTTGGAGGATGTGAGTGGCCCAGCAGCTGTAATTGTCAGCTGTGAAGGAGAAACTGTGCGTTCCTCACCTCAACCTCGTGTGTTTTCTGTTCCTGCTTAGGACTTGCAGGAAATTACAAGCTGGACATAAAAGGAGACAGAGATACAAACTTTTCAATCCTTTACACAACAACCAGCAATGAGGTGATGTTATTTTTTTTTTATATAGTTATTTGTTCCACTGCTAATCTAGCCTAAAAACAAAGAAAATTGATTCAAGCTGCACTAAAAGCTCAAACTAATATTACATTTCTGCAGACCTGTAAACTCTATGTGTTTATTGTTTATCTGATCTTATCTCATCCGCAGTACAAGCTCTTATTCACCTTCGACACTGAGTTCAACAAAACAAAAGTGGTGGACAAGAATCCAGCCTTCGTCTGGGGGAAGAAGCTTCCACAGTACAAACCAAACTGTAATCATTAACTACTCATCAGCACACACACCTGTTTTGTGTCACTATCAATGAAGTAACAACCGGAGATGCTATTATGTGGCATTAAAATGATAAGAGGAGGATTTTCGCAAACATTCGCAATCTCTAAAGGAAGCGGGAAAGCTTCCAGAAAAGGAGATTTAATCGTCACATGATTTTGAATTCAGTAAATAAATTTTCCAGTTGATAACATTTTATCAAAAGCTCAAAATAATCTCACTTATAAGAACGACAGAGTCCAACATTATTTTGGAAAACTTACACACTGAAGCAATATTAGTTATAGTGACCTCCGATCAGCGTGAATAATAATCTACTTAATCATATTTAGTTACTCTAACATAACTTTTACCTGTTAGCAGGGTAGGACACAAAACAATCGTCTTAAAGTAGCTAAATATGATTAAGTAAATGCCAAATGTGGTTGCATTGTTTTTTCAGTGTAGGATTTGACGTTGTCCGTTCTGGCCCCCGTTAAAGATTTGAATATCATCCCTGATGTCTCCAATGGCACTTTTCTGACTATGGAGCTACTAATTACCAGAGTGGGCTTCTCCGTAAGCGGGGAAAATGGGTTAGAAATGTAGATGTGTTGGTGGTGACCAGTTGGCAGAGATCCAGGCTGCGCTTTATGACTACCGTCACCCAGTCGCCTGGCTGCTGAGGAACTGTCGGAGGACCAGTATGTGGCCGTGTCCCTGGTCTTCGATTGCTCTGGGTTATTAACTAGTGGGCCTGGTCTAATTCCTGGATGTTAAACATCCGGGAATCCAAAGCCGGGACTCTTACTCCAGGGCCGTTTCTCAATATGCATTCTTGAGCGTTCTTGTGTACTCGTGATACGTCATCAGCCTCAGCCCAAGCACTGTTCCAATTGCCGAGAACGCAAGACCGAGAACGCACCAAATCCCTGGATGTTGTTCTCGCTGTGCCCTCTTTATCCAGTATGCATCAGAGTAGACTTGTTTTGTTCTTGAGATTGACAGCTGTCCCAGCATGCACCGCGGCAGGAGCAGCTTTCAATGAAGCGCTCCATTAAAAGTTAAAAGTTCTGTTTTCTGTTGCTGTTGTTCAATATAAGTACGTTTTAAGATAATTTGAGGCGAGAATATTACACTTGAAAGCGTCACTATATGGCCCATTTACCGATCTAATGCGTAATTTAAAAAAAGATTTCCGAAGTTGAGAGGACCGCAGCAAACCAGCGGAGCTCCGAGGGTAACGGCAGCCAGGGCTAACCGCAGCCGTTTGTAGCAGCCCTCTCTTGGCATAGCCGTGTGTGAAGGACCGCTGGCTCTGATCGAGATTTTTTTGTTTTATTTGGCAAAATTCACATTTTATTTGTGTTCATCTGACTGTGTCCATCATTATTCCCCCACTAAATGAAAAAAGTAATAATTTATTATTATCGAGAGACTATAAATAACAGGAGGTGAAATGCAGCTCTAGAAGAGCCGAGCGTGTGGTGATGTCACGAGTACGCTTCTGTTCCAGTTGACCCATATCTATGCTGCGTGCTCGCGTTCTCACCAAGTCCATACTTTCCTGTGCTCTTGCCAAGACCGGACTTGATGAGAACACGAGTATGGACTAGCGTTCTAGTGAATTGAGAAACAGCCTAGGTCTTTGACACCTCCAAAGCTACAGAAATACACATATTACGAATACCATTTTAGCTAAATTAGACAGGGGAATAACTGAACATCTGACAAAGAGAGGGCGAGAGGGCAGTATAGAAAGAGTTGGAAAAGAGTCTGGGGAGACAGAGGGCGTTTCTCAATTCACGAGAACACTAGTACGTACTCGCGTTCTCGTGAAGTCCGTTCTTGGCGAGAACGCAGGAAGATCGGACTTGACAAGGACGCGAGCACGCAAGCACGTATGTGTATTGGAACAGAAGCGTACTCGTGACGTCATCACATGCAACGTTGTTTAGCATTTCTTTAACAGTCAAAACTATTTATTCCCTACACAAAACATTTTGAAAACAATATTTCTAAAGCTTAAAAAACATTTAAAAAAATTACTGAACCGCAAAAAACCGCCATCAGAACGAGCGGTAGTTCACACATAACTAGACCGAGAGAAGTGCACTATAGACGGGGTAAATTTAGCCCTGGCTGCGGTTACCCTCGGAGGTCTGCTGGTCACTCTGGTCCGCTCAACGTCGGACTTTTTTTTAAAATTTCGCACTAACTCTGTAAACAGGCCACACAGGGAGGCTTCAATGTATAATGTTATCGCCTCAAACGATTTCAAAACGTACTTTTGAAGAACAACAGCAGCAGAAAAGGGAATGTTTAACTTAACACTGTGAGCGCTGTCTCGAATCAAGCTGCGGCCGCGGGGCATTCTGGGGAAACGGTCAGTATGAAGAACGCACAAGTCTGCTCTGATGCATGCTCGATAAAGAGGGCGGGGTGAGAACAACATCCGGGGATTTGGTGCGTTCTCGATCTGGCGTTCTTGAGAATTGGAACGGTACTCGGGCTGAGGCTGATGACGTGTCACGAGTACACGAGCACACGAGAACGCTCAAGAACGCATATTGAGAAACGTCTATCGAGAGAGAAGCCATAGCATTGCTAAGCTAGCATTAGCCTAGGCTAGCTACCAGAAAAAAAAAGTGTGAATGTGACAGGTGCCCTGTAGAAAAGTGCAGAAGTGAAGCTGTTCTTAAAAGTGCTTCTGGCCATTCCTAATTGAATGTGAATCTGTTTCTGTGCACTCATGTCAACTTTTATCACTTTTTTGCAATTTTTTTGTAAACTTCATATGACTTCATATCCAACAGCCGTCTCTGTCATGAACTTAAATAAAAAGCTACACATAAAAAATATTTAAAAGTAGCTGCAAACTTATTTCTAATAAGCACGTTTTGAACTATAAATAACTCCTCAGTATAAACTGCAGAGCTAACGTTAGCTTAGCTCATACAGGGTTCCAAATTTAACATCAAACATGCCTGTGCATCAATACTGGCAGAATTTAAGGCAGAGATCAGTCAGAGAGACCTATGTAAAGTTACTGATCTGATAGATCATTTCTAATGACGGTTTAGTTTACACCAGGGTTTCCAAGGATTTTCTGCACTATTTTAGAAGTAGTTTAATGACATAGGAAATATTCAGGTGACCCCTCACATTCTTCATTTCTCCAGAGGTTTGTCTCTGCTATCTCTGCCACAGGTTGAAACTCTGAACTGATTGCTTGTTTCCTCTCTTGGCAGTGACAGGTGTTGCTATTTCTGACATCCTTGTGGGCGTGCTGACTGTCACAGTGGTGGTTGTGGCCACCATAGCATTGATTTTTTACAGGTGAGTGATTGCGCAGTTAGGGGCAGATCTTCAGAGGTTTTGCGTGTCTAAACACACAGACATGGGCCCTGGTCGAATTTATGGGCTGCGTCCTCAGGAGGCCAGATTCGAAGGACGATTACATCATAGCGTGGCACCGAGGTCTGGTCGGATTCCAAGACTCCTCGTTATGCGGCCTTAAAATGCGTCCTTCTTTTAGCCCGATTTGAAGGACGGGTCCGATGTATCCTTGGTTTACCCAGGATTCATTGCGAGACCAAGCCCACAATCGGCAAATTTACAGCAGCAGAAAGATTATTGAAAATGGTCACACAAATGTGGACCTTAGAAAAATGTATAAGAAAGCAGCAGAAAGATTATTGAAAATGGTCACACAAATGTGGACCTTAGAAAAATGTATAAGTATAACATAACAGGGAAGTTAAAATATAAACAATAAAATACTGTAAAGTGTTTTAACAATATAAAACTGTACACCTGGAGAATAAATAACCGTCCTATGTGCTCGTCCACAGTTAGCTATCTTTTTCTGCACATTCGCACTTTCAGGCATATATGTGTGGTGAGCTACGGTTTCAGACGGTCATTGAAGCTCGCCTTTCTCATCGCAGTTCTTTGAAAATGGCTGATTGTCGTAAGATAAAAGGTGTCTGTGAAGTGCATGAGAAGAAAAGAAAGGCCTGAGAAGAGGCGGATATATCCCGGAATGCTCTGTGCAGAGAATTCTCCTTTTAACATTAAAAGACTGGCCCATTAAAAGACTTTTAACATTTAAAAAAATGCTGAAAAATCCTCCACTACACCTTTAATAATTGCCCAGCTATATTTGTAGATCACCCACATTGCGTGTACTTATTGCACATACTAAAAGATTTTCAAGGGCCATTAGCTCCTCTTATTCTGAATCTCTGAAGATAAAGCCCTAATTTATTATGGTTAAGACGGCTGACTGTCACAACCGCATTTTTAGACTCACCTCGTGAAGTTAAGTATCTCAGTCTGATCATTGTTGATTCATTTATTGATAATAATCCATTTATGTAATGATTTATAACATGATCAAAATAAAGTACTAGCTAATTATTTTGTAAACAAATGGATAGCATTCCTATAGGGCAGATTTTCACCTTCTTGGTTCTGTTTGTTTTTTTTTTAGACAGAACAGGAAAGATCGGCTCCTCAGGAAGCGTTGGTGCCACATTAACTCTGACCTCATCTCTCTGCTAGAGGACAGCCAACACAACATCATTTCATTAAAGGTGAACAAAGGAGCTGCAAAAGATTTAAAATACAAAAACTAGTTCAATTCTGAATCAGTATTTCTTTTCTATTAATTTGAGTTTTGTATATAAAAAGACAAAACATAATGTATATTTTTATATTTACTATACAATGGTCTTTGCATTTATTGGCCTCACGGTTAATAATGTGTTGGAGGATAACTGTGACGGGGTTGTTTGTTCACCAAGGTTCAGTCATGTTACAGATGTCGTTGCTTTATTTGCTACATTTTCCCATCTTGTGCTCCCACCAGTGCAAAATGGATTCCAAGGCCAAACTATACACATATTTATACGTAGAAGTAAAACAAACCAAACATTTTGAGTGTCTGTAACTAAATCCTCTGAGCCAGAGCCTCCCTCCAGTTGCCAGCATGCAACAAATGGCCGCCTACATTCAAACAGGCCTCTATAAATAGACTAAGCCCCTCCCCTCAGGCTCAGTTAACCCTCATTTTCACATATAAATTAATTTAAACAGAATATCATTACTCCACATAAGCAAAATAAGATAGAAAAACGCATTATATATTTTAATTATTTTCCACAAATTTATCAGCAAATCTGAAAGAGATTATTGATGGCAGGAGAAAAAAAAATGTAATTTGTAAACAACTGACTGGCTATGGATAAAGCTGAATGGTTTCTTGATTATCCAGACATGCCACTCTTTCTGCAGATCTGTAGTAAATTTCTGCAGATCTCAAATACATCTTTTTACCTTTTTGCAAGGTAGATAAATCAGCTTTGTTCAATTAAATGTTATAATCCTCCCTCTGGTTGGAGGGAGGATTATAACAGGCAATTATAATTTAAAGCTCCAAGATGCTCAAATTGGTTTTTAAAAATAAAATATAAAAATTGCTTTGCTTTGCATGTATTTTGAGAGTAAAGCAATGAGTATACCTTGAAATATAATGTAATGTACTGATTTTTTTCCTGTGTGGATGAAAGTTCTCAGTGTGTTACTTTGCTATTTTAAATATGAACTTACATTTTACCATCAGGGGAGCAGTTTGGGGGACTCTTATGGAAATAATTGTTTTCATTGTTTTTTAGATAGAGGATGAAAGGAAGAAGGTAAAATTCCAGATCCGCCGTGCCCTCTATGACAAAAAGGTAGTTGAAAGGAAAAAGTTCCTGTGTCGGTTTTTCAAGGTCCAACCTATTTTCCTTAAACACATGCAGATAAGTGAGAGTAAAAGTTCTGCTCTGATTCTTCTCAGATTGTGATCCTAAAGGAGCTGAAAAACTCAGATGGAAACTTCAACAAAACCCAGACAATGGAGCTCAATGCGGTGAGACGACGGCCCAGCAGGACCTGGTTCTTTGCTCTTTTATTGGTTTTGTGTCTCAATGTGCTCCGTGGCCTTTCCAGATTTTTATGGCCGCTTTGTTAATATTTGTTGAAGCTCACCAGCACGTTGTTACCTTTTCCTGGCAGCTTCTGAACATCGACTATTACAACCTGACCAAGTTTTATGGCACGGTCAGGTTTGATGAGGGTGTGTTCGGCGTGTTTGAGTACGGAGAGAGGGGGTCGCTCAGGGTATGTAAGGCACAACCACATCCAGTCACCGCCTTCAAGGCAGAGTGCTCATAGTTTTGTCATTTAAAAACATGTCTGTTTTACTGTTTTGTTCTAGTATGTGCTGAACGACAAGATTTCATACCCAGAAGACACCTTCATGGACTGGGAGTTCAAAATCTCTGTCATGTATGACATTGCAAAGGTGGGATTTGGCTCTACAGATTATAACACCTAACACAACAAATACTGAAAATTATTTATGCTCAGCTGGGGGACTGAGACCATGCATCTTGCTGCCCTGCAGATGAAAGACAAAGCTTGCGTCATAAAGGGGCGATATAAGAGGTTTAATCAATAACAGAAACTAGAAACAGCATCAGAAATGAATGTGACGTTCTGCACTAGACTCACTTTTTTTTATTGGGATGTTTTGTGACAAAGCAACTCTTAACTATAAAGTGGAAAGAAAAAGAACATTGCATCTTAAATTTTTATTTCTGGCAACAAAAATTTGAAAACTGTGACCATTTTATCTACCTCTGATTGGAGAAGAGACTAAGAGGTTATTGTCAACTCTTAAAGGAGCTGCAGAGTTCTTAGTGCACTGCAAAAACGATCTAGAAATAAGTAAAGATTTCTTAAATTGAGTGTATTCACCCTTAATTTGAGCAGGTTAATGAGATAGTTTGCCAATTGAATGTGTAATTTTACTCTTAAAATAAGATAATTAGATAATATGCACTTGAAATAAGACGATGCAATTGTGTTTTCATATTTGAAGTGTTAATTGTCTTGTTCCATTCAATTCACGAACAAATGCACTTATTTTAAGAAAAAATGACTTATCTAGATTTAGATTTTTTGCAGTGTGAAGGATAGGAAAAAAGGGCAGAAGCAAATGTTTTTATGTTTGCCACAAACTGCATGGAACAACACAGCAGTCATCTGGAAGAGGGTCTGCAAAATGAGATCATGAATAACTCTTAAGGCCTACCGGTACATGCAAAGCACTATGGGTAAACCCTGCACGCTTTTATCCCCAATTAGAAACATGGTGGTTGTAGCATCATGCTGTGGGGATGTCTTTCATCAATTAACATGATAAACCAAAAAAGAGCTGTAGCTTGAACACCCGGTTCTATAAAGTATTTGTAGAACCACTTCATTTGTAAAAAATAAATAAATAAATAAAAATAGATAATTAAAAAGGGAACTGTATGTCATTTCCTTACCAAGACAAAACTACTATACAGTTGCAAACCTCTGTATGGTCAATAACCCTAATGTTATTTGGATTCTGCCAGCAGCTGTTCCTCTATAACATTCCTAACCATTTCATCCAGAAAACATAAATCTAATGACCCAGATCTCTTCAAAATAAAAGTCCACATCATTTAAACATAGCTTTAAATACTTAACATTATTATAAATAATTTCCTCCTAAATATTAATCAGTGCCTACATTTGAAGCAACGCTAGAATAATTTAAATCACATGAGCTGCAAAATTATAAATTAAATGATTCAAAGTCGAGTTAAAGGAGCAGCTGCAGTTTCCTCTGTCTACCACTAGATGTCATTAAATATAATATAATATCTCTGTCTTTTTAATTCAGTGAAAATCTCATTACCTGTTCCTCTGGAGAAGGTATCAGGTGCCTGACTTCTGTTTGCAGGGCATGTCCTATCTTCACGCCAGCACCATCCAGGTTCATGGGCGCCTCAAGTCCACCAACTGTGTGGTGGACAATCGCATGGTGGTCAAGATCACAGACTTTGGCTGTAACGCCTTCCTCAGCAGCAGCAAAGGTAAAGCGTCCCCCTACTTATGACCATCTTGGTTGCTTCTTTCTGTCATTCCTCTGCACTTGTGCTGTTCCAGATCTGTGGACGGCTCCAGAGCACCTGAGGGACCAGGGTACTTCACAGAAAGGAGACGTCTACAGCTTTGCCATCATCTCCCAGGAGATTGTTCTGAGGAAGTCCACCTTCTACACCCAGTCCTGCTCCAACCGTTCAGGTTCACACCTGGCCAAAATGTTTTCCTTCTGTAGTCAGCGGTTATGATACTGACGTGAACTTTCTCAGAGTGATGCTTGTCCTGAATGAAGGTGTCTCCTTGCAGAGAAGTTGTCCAGGGTGATGACGTCGTACTTCAGACCTGATCTGGACATTGAGGTGGCTTCAGAGAAAGAACTGGAGGTTAGTTTTTATTAACCATTTTTGCACCACCTTCATGATACAGTGCTTTCACTCACTGATGGATAGTTGTTTTTTTTTAAAGCTCATGTCATCTCCATCCCTCAGGTGTACATGATGATAAAAAACTGCTGGGATGAGGATCCGGAAAAAAGACCAGACTTTAAGAAAGTGGAGAACTGCTTAGGGAAACACATCAGGTAACCCCCGGTATTCCCTGTGTCTACTGTCTGAGAAATGTGCCGGATTTTCTACTAGGCTTGATTAAAAAAAAGATCCCTATCTTAGTAAAATTCACAACCAGGACAACGAGAGCTACATGGACAACATGATCCGAAGGCTGCAGAACTACTCCAGAAACCTGGAGCACCTGGTGGAGAAGAGAACAGCCCTGTACAAAGCAGAGAGGGATCGGGCCGACTTCCTCAACTTCATGCTGCTTCCTGGGTCGGTTTGTTCAGATGGGAACAATTTCTTTTACAGAACATAAAAAGTAGTAAACAGAATTTCAACCTGAGCAAAGGTTAAAATTACTGATTATAAACACTATTAAACTCTGATGAATGAGTTTAGGGGAAAGGATAAACAAGTGGAACTGGGTCATTAAGCATTATTAACAAGTAGAAAAAATATTAATGTTTTTTACCTGCCTGTGAATGAAGGCCAGTGGTGAAGAGCCTGAAGGAGACCGGTGTGGTGGAGCCAGAGCTGTACGACGAGGTGACCATTTATTTCAGCGACATTGTGGGCTTCACCACCCTGTGCCAGTACAGCACACCCATGGAGGTTGTGGACATGCTCAACGACATCTACAAGGGCTTTGACAGCATCGTCGACAACCATGACGTCTACAAGGTAAGATAATTCTTAAAATTAAAATTATATTCTGCTTACAGTATATTCATGTCTGTTTTTTGGGAGGGATTGCAGGAATGTTTAACTGGGCCTGTGAAATTTTCTCTGATGGGACTGAAATGAACTTTTCTTCTACTGTCATGTTGGGGTTCAGGTTTCTAACCCACATGCAGAACACCAAGGAGTCAGAGTAAAAGTTTAACAGTTTATTGGAGATAAGCACAAGGTTAGTTGACAGATACTGGAATCTGATCCGGGACTGGTCACACGAGGCTCTCTGCAGAGAGGGACAGTTAGGTTAGCCAGGCAGCTAATGATCTTGTAGCTGAGAGAATGTGCAGATCTGTACCTGTTCAGAGATTCAGGCTGAACGGCAGAGGGAGGGAACCAGGAGGATCTAGAGACTGATAGACGGCAGAGGGCTTGGCAGCGACAGGACCTAGCTTCAGGCTTGAAGAGTTCAGAGCTTCTCCAAGTCCTTCTTGGAGGAAGGTAGGGAGATCCAGACAGTTTGATCTTCAGGTTTGATACTGAGAGCAAGCAGGCAGGTTTTCAGTTGAGACGCTCTTCCAGAGCTTCAGGCTTCAGTCGGGTTCTTCTTAGGAGGCAGAGAGGAAAAAAAACTGATCAGATTCAAGTCAGGCTTTCAGAGAATCAGGCAGGCTGGTTGGCTCAGGCTTGCTAACCGTAACTGGCTTAACACTCTGGCCCTGAAGAGTAGTCCTGC